TGTCTGCCTCGAAAGTCAGTGTAATCACACTACTCTGAACACGCCTAACATTGAATCAGGACATTGGTCCATCTGGCTCAGTATCATATGCTCTTTTTGGCAGGAGCTCGTGAGGTTGCAGGCAAAGAGGCTCCTTCTCTGCACCTACTGCTGAAGGATCCTTCCACTGGAGTTGCCAGGGATTGAACCTGGGAACCTTCTGCACGCAAAGCAGCTGCTCTGTCTTTAAAATGCAGCCATTTCCTGTATGTTGTTGTTGTTGTCTATACTGGTCAAGTTGTTCACTTGTACAATGGTTCGTCCTTATCGTACGTCATGTTTACAAGGTGTCTGGGTCATGATCAGGATGAGAAACTTCACTCTCAGGAACTCCAGACCTCAGGTGTCAGGCAGAGGGCACCTTCCCTTTCTGCATGTTAAAGCTTGTGGATCAGTCTTAGAATAAGAGTTAGCTCAAGTGGTTAAGACGCTGAACTGCAGGCTGTGGAAGGTCAGTAGTTCAGCAGTTCGAGACCCGAGTGTGCCGCATGACGGAGCGAGCTCCCATCTCTGGTTCCAGCTCCTGCCAACCTAGCAGTTTGAAAGCAAGAAATTGCAAGTAGATAAATAGGTACCACTTTGGTGGGAAGGTAACAGCGTTCCATGCGCCTTGGTGTTTAGTCATGCCAGCCACATGACCACGGAAACGTCTTCGGACAGCGCTGGCTCTCCGGCTTTCAAACGGAGATGAGCACCGCAGCCCTAGAGTCGGATTCGACTGGCTTTCGAGCAAGGGAACCTTTACCTTTACTTTTTCACTACCCTAAGGAGTCTCAAAGTGGTTTACAATCGCCTTCCCTTCCTCTCCCCACGACAGGCACCTTGTGAGGTAGGTGGGGCTGAGAGAGCTCTGAGGGAACTGTGACTCACCCAAGGTCACCCAGCTGGCCTCATGTGGAGGAGTGGGGAATCAAGCCCGGTTCTGCAGATTAGAGTCCGGCACTCTTAACCACTACACCATGTTGATAAAGGGATTATTGTTAGAGCTGATTAATAATAGCATGAGCAGGACTTTGTGGTACTGTCAAACTGAACATCAGCGAGAAGTTCACTGATGTTGTTAGCGTGGATGGAAGACAGGCCCTTGCCCTGTGTGAGAAGAGCATTTTGAACCTGCGGAAGGCTGGGGGGGAGCGGGGGAGACTCACGAATTCAGTTCCATTAGACTTAACAACCCCTTCTGATCTTTTAATCAGGACCGTGAGGCCATGTAATGCGCACTGGGGAAACAAACACAAATCTCCTAATCAACCTAGTGTGTGCCCATGGAATAAATCAGCATGTATAATTTCTTTGGAGAACAGGATGTCAGTTCACGCCAATTTGAAACCTTCTGGCATGGAAACTGGTGATAAAGAGCAAGGAAAGAGGATAGAAAGAGCTCGTTGAGTTAGAACAAGGAACAGGGAAGTGGTGTGGAGTCACAACAGGCAAATGAGCCCTTTCCTGTTTGCCAGAAGCCCTTCCAGGGTCACCTTTTGTTTCTCAAACTTCAACAGAGACTGCTTGCCCACTTTCACACACACACCCCCCCCGGAAACCAGGAGGACTAGCAACTTTGGAATTCTGGCTGTTAAAAGGTCAAACAAACAAACCAGGAATGCACGATACCAAACTTTGTGACAGATTCCTTGTCCTATGCATGAAGAAGGTGCACAAAACTTGCTAGGAGGCTCAGTCAAACAATCACAAAAGAATGCCCCTAGCCACACTACACTGATGGTTCATTAGCCCAGTGTTTATCAGTGAGTAAGTAAAGGTAAAGGTTTCCCTTGCTCGAAAGCCAGTCTAATCCGACTCTAGGGAGGCGGAGCTCATCTCCGTTTCCAAGCCGAAGAGCCAGTGCTGTCCAAAGACATTTCTGTGGTCATGTGACTAGCATGACTAGACACCAAGGCGCACGGAACTATGAAAGATAAGGACTCGCACGTGCTGCCAGTCAGAGACATGCTGAAAGCCCTTTATCAGTACCGGTTGTTTGTAAAACTGCCCAAGTGCAAGTTCCATAAGGAAGAGTTGGATTTCCTGGGCTACCAGATTTCTGAGAAAGGACTGGGCATGGACCCCCACAAAGTCAAAGATGTATTAGGGTGTGACCCCCCTCAAACAAGGAGGCAACTACAAGCATTCCTCGGGTTCGCCAGTTTCTATTGACCTTTCAACCCAAATTTCACCCAGGAAGCCTTGCCCCTCACAGACCTGCTGAAAACAAAGGGGAAGGGGACAGAGGGTAAAAAGCTAGGCTGTAAGTTATCATGGACTCTGGAGTGCCAGCAGGCTTTTGACCGATTGAAGGCTTTGTTAACTTCCAAGCCAATTTTGAGCCACCTGGATGAAAATAAACCCTTTGTGATACAAGTGGATGCTTCGGATGTAGCAATGGGGGCAATCTTGCAATGGGGGGAGGACAGGAAACTGCACCTCCTTGCTTATGTGTCAAAAAAATTCTCAGACACAGAGGAATTGGGCAGTTTGGGACAAAGAAGCTGCTGCCGTTAAGCTGGCCCTCACCAACTGGATACATTGGTTAGAGGGGGCCAGAGTACCCTTTGAGGACGGGACTAACCATAAGAATCTGGAGGCGTTACGCACCCCTGATGCCTCAATGCTAAACAGTTGCACTGGGTGGAGTTCTTTTCTAAGTTTCAGTTCACACTCAAGCACCTTCTGGGGAAGTCTAATTTTCTTGCTGACACCCTCTCGTGCCTCCAGCACACCAGTCAGAGGGAAGAAGTCATTGACTCTATGTTCATACCCACTCAAATGGGGGGGGGCAGTGCTCATACACACTTGGACTAAGGAGGAGGGGAGCCTCAGTCCCAAGCCTTGGGGAGCCTCAGTCCCAAGACAGCCTTCACTGAAGCTGATACAGAGGAAGTGGAAAAGAAGGGCACCCTTGTGCATGGGGAGAACGGGTGCTGCTATCTCCAACACAAGCTGTTTGTGCCTCGTTCCCTGCGGGGGGGGGGGGGGGGGGGAGGGAAGGACAAGCCACTTTCTGCTCACTTGAGCCCCAGTCTCAGAAATCTATCACTGGTAGACAAGTGTCTTCTATATAGCAGGAAACAGTTCACCAAGCCCAGAATCTAAGCAGTACGGGAGTTGTGTTTTTTTCTACCGCTCCCTCCCTGTGGTGCATGGGGGAGCTGGGGTGACAGGGAACTGGGTTTGGGCATGCATACTTTAAGCAGTCGAAGGCACTGCCCCTTTCACAGTTATGATTTTTGGGAGGTGGGGGAGAGTCAATGCAGATCAGAGGAGATCCTTGTCCTCTGATCTTAATGCATTACCCAGTCCCAGGCTCTTTTACCATCAGAAGGGCATAGCATCCTGGACCGCAGGGGAAATTAAATCTTAGGGTATGCTGTGCAGCATGAATGCACCAATATTCATCCTTCCCCCTAGAACACTTTAAGCTGCGCTCCGGCACATCAAGTCCTTCTCATTCTCTATTTCTGCCCCCACCGACAGTCGACTGCCCTCAACGTTCCACTGGAGGCAATAAACATGCTCAGTCCTCGTCAAACTTAATTTTTTAAAAAAATGTAGTGTTGTGTGTGTGTGTGTACACTTGCATGCCTCATTCCACTGAAGGCAATAAACATGCTCAGTCCTTGTCAAACTTAAATATATAAAAAATGTAGTTGTGTGTGTGTGTGTGTGTGTGTACACTTGCATGCCTGGAAGTCATGGTGACGTCTGGTGACCCCTAGTGGGGCTAGGACATTTCAGAGAGGTGGATCGTTATTGCCTGCCCCTGCCTCCCAGCCCGGGTATTCCTTGGGTGTTTCCTTTCCAAGTACTTGCCAGTGTCAACCCTGCTTAGCTTCTGAGATCTGATGAGATTGGGCTTGCCTGGGCTATCCAGGTCAGGGCGGTCCTTGTCAAACTTTAATAGCGTGTGTGTGTTCCTTTCCTGTTTGAAACATTAATAAGGTACTCTTATTCTGCATACCTGGTGAGTCCCCAGAATATGCAGAAACCACCTGCCTCATCTGTGAGTGGCCTCGTTTCACCATTTTGCTGGTAGTCGGAGAACCACCCAGGAGATTATTAGAAGGAGTGACAGAATGCAAGGACAGTTAATACACCCTCTGGGTTAGGGCCGACGTTACCATTTATAAGGTTGAGAGCGAGTGCTCTAAACACAACTCAGGGGCCTGCTGGACGTTGCAGAATGCCTGAAAGGGAACTGTTGAGGTTAACTTCAGGGTGGGGGCTCCGTACCGAGGTGAAGACCTCCGTGGTCTGCTGGATGGTGGCAATCTTGGTCCAGCCCCACTTTTTGAAGAGCTGCACACGGGTGGGGTTGTGGAGTGTGGCCGAGGGATGCGTGCGGAAGAAGGTGGGGAAACGTTGGCGGTTGGAAAGTGCCGGTGAGCTGGAGCCATAGGACAGCTGGAAGGAGGAAAGAGACACAGCTAAGTAAGGAAAAGGGTGTGTGTGTGCTTACAAAGGGCCCAGCTCGATCAGACCTGGGATCCACCCACCCCAGCAGCCAGTTTCCTACAGCAGCCCATAGAGTTTCCTGCAAGCACCCCCTAGAGACAACAACAGTAGGGTTCGCCTCCTTTCACTTTGGGACTGAGGCTTCCCATGTACCTTTCTCCTTGTCCTATTCACACAGGACCTGATCCTGAGATGCCAGCTATAATCTAGTCCTATCCCCAAATATAAAGGAACATGAACGTGTGTCAGACCGCTGGTTTATCAGGATCAGTATTTTTTTACTCTGAGTGGCAGCAGCTCTTGGGCACAGGTGTTCCCCATCACCGGCTAATTGATTCTTTAACGGGAGATGGCCAGGATTGAACTCGGGACCTTTGGTATTCAAAGCATGCACACTACCACTAAGCCACGGCCCCTGCTTTTCAGGCCTGCTCCATCCCCTCCCCACTCCAGGACTTAATTTTGAAAGTGCACAATGCCAGGGCTGAGGCCCTGTGGCTTTCGAGGCTGGTTGAATCTGGAAAAACCTGTCCCCAAAGAGGCTGTGCTAACAGCCCCGAAATAATTCTGCACATGCTCCCCGGCATTCTTGTCACTCAATTCCAGGAATGAAACAGTTTGCATCATTGAGCTCTGACTCCCAGTCAAGACTTGTGTGTGTCCCATGCCCCCCACTGTCACTGCACAGACAAAACGTGAGAGGCGCTCACCACAATGAGGTTCCACATGCGCGCAGCCTCAGCCACCAGGGTGGAAACGCTGCTGCAGCCCGGCAAAAGAACGATCTTGATGGGGTCATTGTAGAGCAGCTCATACAGGAATTTGGTGGCCACGCCAGGTTCGCACTGCAGGGGATTAGATAAATTGACAAATCACCTCCCAAAGACGGCGATGTACCTCTCATTTCCCCCCAATTCCATGTACTTCCCACTCAGAACAAATCCAGATGTTCCTAGAAAAGGCCACTGTTCTTTCTACTGCTTGATATTAATTCTAGAGCCAGATGCTGTACAGAGCATAGTGCCAATCTATATTAGGTCAGGAATGGAAAGAGAGGGCATTGCTTATCAAACAGGTAGCGTGTACAAGACACATTGAAGAGTGTGACAGCCGTGGAAATTCAGGCAAGGTGAAGTGGAACAAGATGCAGAAGGATTTGCTAGCAAGGTGGGGAGGAAGAAGGTATCTTGATGCATAGTGAAGGAGAGGTACACCAAGGAGCCAACCACACATTAATTTATTTATTTCCTATCCCCACCTTTCTCCCATTAAAGAGATTCAGGTGGCATACACGGGTTTTCCCAGGCAGTCTCCCAGCCAGGCATCAACTAAACCCAGACCTCAGTTTCTGCAAGGTCCTCAGGTACCTTCCACCCACACTCTGTGATCGTCATTCCCCTTCCCAAATGAACGACTCTTGCCCATGAAGAAAACGTTAGTAGCAGGGACCTGTACAGATCCTGGGTTGCCTAAGCCCAGATCTGAGGAACGGAACTAGAACAGTCTGGCCAGGATCCTATGAGCCAATTTGTCCTGCTCTGATCAATGGAACGGCTCAGATCTTGATCCCAACAGAGGTGAGAAGGGGAATTGAAAGACTGGACTCCTAGCAGGTGACGGCGGTTCAGTCACATCTTGCGCAGCCACTATGCAATAGGACAGAGTCAACAAAAGGCCATTGTCTTGATGGACCAGACCAAAGAAGAAGAAAAAAAAGAAGAGACTGGATTTATATCCTGCCCTTCACTATCTGAAGGAGTCTCATGGTGGCTTACAGTCTCCTTTCCCTCCCCACAACAGACACCCTGTGAGGTAGGTGAGGCTGGGAGAGCTCTTTCAAGGACTGCACTTGAGAGCACAGCTCTGCCAGAACTTGTGACTGACCCAAGGTCATACCAGCAGCTGCATGTGGAGGAGTGGGGAATCAAACCCGGTTCTCCCAGATTACAGTCCGAGCTCCTAACCGCTACACCAAAGAAGAATGTGCTGTCAACATCTGGGCTTGGGAGCTAAACAGGGTTGGCCACAGTCAATACTTGATTGGGAGAGCACCAAGGAAGACCAGGGGTTGCTACGTGGAGTCGACCAAAGGATCCATCTAACGCGGGACATTCGCCCCAAAGAGTGGCCAGCCAGATGCTTCATCCCATAAAGCTCACAAGCAGGGCATGACGAGAGGTTGCCCTCCCGCTGCATCTGCTATCAGAGATGCTGACTGGGATGACGGAGACTCCATCCTTAGCTATCATGGCTAATAGCCTCATTCTGGTACTGTGGGGGGTACAACATAAGGCAGCCCTGAGCACAGAACAAATGATCTGTTGGCTTTCCCAACAGCGGGGAAGGGTGCTTGTGCCAACAGAGCTGTCAATTTACCCTCTGCTCCCCAGAGACCACAAATACCCTTTCTGTGCCTCTCCTACAATCTTCAGATGGACCCTGCCTCCCCACACCACCTGACCCCCCCCTGCCCGGCTATCTCTCCTTCTCTCTCTCTGGACCAAGGTGCCAGCCATCCCACCCTCCACTCTCCCACCGCCTCTCCAATCCTGCTCCTGGCTGTGCGCCGCCACCGCAAGGGGATGATGAATTATTCAGGGCATCGCCGCCCGGGAAAGAGGATCAGTTTCCATGGCAACCCCATCAGCAGGCGCTGCCACGGCAACCTGTCAGCACCAGGGAGCGGGGCTTCAATGGGGAGGGGACAAAGGGAACGTAGGGGTAGGGGGGCGACTGGGAAGCGCGGGGGTAGCGAAAGAGGGAGGGGGAGTGAGAGGAAAGGGGCAGCCATGACAAGGAAGAGGGGGTACGCTCGTGTGGGAGGAGTGACAGACGACCAGATAGACTGACGGATCAGATCGAGGCTTTGATTGACCGACAGGTGGCTGAATTCAGGAATAGACAGAAAGCTGGGGGTGGGGGCTGGATAGAGATGCAGAAGAAGTGTTCGCGGTACTAGTCACTGAGGGCAAGGGAATGAAGCAAGGCATGTAAAAAAAGAGTGTCAAAGATGGGAATACTGGGACAGGGAAGCAAAGGAATGTGGGTAAAAGAAGAAGCACACAGCATGGACAGCTGGGAATATGGAAGGATGCGGAGAAACAGATTCCAGCGTGAATATGGGAAACAGCCAGACAGAAAACAGGAGAGCACGTGTCCTCACGAGGGCGGATACATTCAAAGATGAGCATGAGAATCAGTTTGCCAAAGTCAGTACACAAGGGTCTAAAGGGGAGGTGTCTGCTGCAGAACTTGAGCTGCAAACTGAAGTGCGTTGCAGTGTGGATAATACTTGGAATCCCCCCACCCCACATCTGTTCCTCTTGAACTGGCCCAGCGTGAATGCAGCCAATCCTCAGGAACCTACCACTGGAAAAGGGGGAAAGGCGAGGAACCTCTGACAAAAGACCACAAAGAGTTCTCGTGTTCACCTGCCAACTCTGGAAGGAAAACGTGGTTTAATTTCCTGTCACCCGGCAGACCAGGAACTGTACCTTGACTGCCTTCCCATCCTAGTGATGAAAACCCGCTGCTGTGTTCGGGGCTAGAAGGCCACAGACATGGCCTCTTCCCAGGCAATGACTGCCTGTGAGGACAATCTATATACACCTTTCCGTCCTCACCCCTTGGTTTCTCTCACCGTTCTCACCCACAGAATATTCTGATAACCAGTCTCATGGAGTCAACCAATAGTCTGAACCATCATGGGGATCAGAAAACCAGGAGTGAAAAGCTGAGTTTGAGCCCAAGGGCTGGATGGGGGTGTCAACAGGTAAGAACGCATGTATTGGAGACACGCTGGGACTTACAGGTGAAGGCAGGTGCCAACATGCAAGAGACGGTCACAGAGCAGGCCCAAGGGCACCACAGGCACAGGGAAGGATGGAGTAAAGGAGGGAAACGAATAATGTGGAAGTACGCAGGGGGGGAAATTGACAGTACAAACGCCATGCAGTTCATCTTTCCAATCAAGTCTGACAGAACTTTGGTCATATTCTGAGGACATGGCTGACAGCTAAGACCTGACCTCTCCATCCTGCAGCCACATTTACCGCTGAAGGGGACTCTGAGGCCCGGTCTCAGTCAGACACGTCAAAAGCACTGACAGAATGCAGCTCTGTTTCTAAGAAAGGATTTATATGTTACACACCTCTGAGTCCATCCCTGACAGGGCATATCATATATTTCAGACCCCATCAACACCACACTCCCCTTCCAGAAAAACACATCTCTCTTTCTCTCTCTGTCTTGCCCAAGGACACATTTAAACCAGATGCCAGCCCTAGGGGATGGGAATTTCAGTCCAGCTCAAATGCAATAGCAGCGTGACCCCCTCTCTCTAGTGGGCCTGTCTCATCAACCTATCTATTTATTACATTTTAATCCCCCCTCTCTGGAATGGCATATGTGGTTCAATGCTGGCAGTACTCATCCGCTCAGGCCTACAGCCCTAGAAAGAACTTCCAGTCAGGCCCTAGCCAAGAACTAGCCAAGCAGGTTGGAGGGGGCCCTATGATGACCTTCCACCTCCCTCATGTCACTGTGGCAGCGAGCGACCCCATCTCAACCCACCTCTCACCCTTAGGCAGCCATTACAGGCTGACGTTTAGTCCCACCACCACTGAGGCAATCTTGCATCAAAACTGCCCTGGCAGTTCCCGTTGCCAACCCATCCTTTTGACTCTTCCATATGACCAGCAGGAAATCCCCACACAGATATCAGGGTATACAGACCTTTAAAATAATAATATCCTTATTAGTGCTCTCCCAAATCCTACCTCCCAAGCCCTCAACCCCTCTCTGCTAGTGCCCCTGCATGTTCACTCTCCCATTCTCTTGATACAGGCTCATCCCTCCATTCAAAATGTGCTTCTGGTCCCTTGGTTCCATCCACGCCTCATTCTCTTGCACGTCTGCTGAAAGTCTCTCCGCCAACTCTCCCTCATGATATCTCTCCCCTCAAACATTCCTGCAAGCCTCATCCTATCAGTTCATGTTCTGATCATGCTCTACAAACTCTTCTCCTGCTGTATGACTCCAGTCCCCCCCCCCATTCATACTGTCAGTTGCACCACCCCCCTTCCTGTGTCCCCTTCCACTTTCCTTTCACCTTGCTGTTATGTTGGCTCAGGGTAACCATTGCCAAAACACTCTGTAAACTCCATTTCCCTCGCGCCTCACCTTGTAGCCCTCTCTGCCTTGGCCAGGAGACCCCTTACCCCACTCCCTCCATTGCCTAAGCCTCACCCCAGCCCCACTTCCAAGGTCTTTTCATCCCTCCATCCCTTCTTTGAAGTGGCACAGGAGACTGGAGCATCCTTGAGGAAAGAACCAACTCCTCACCCACCCCACCCCACCCCCTCCACTGCCAGAGCGCTCCAAGCCCCTTTGGCTGTCCCATCCATCGCAGAGTTTCGGTAGGATCTCTGGGGACCACGACAAGGGGGGGTGCACAGCAAACAACCTCCAAAGTCTTTGCGTGGCCAGTCCTCCCCTCATCCCACTGTGCTTGGCCATGAGGCATAGCAGCACCCACCTTGCTCAGCTTCGCATTGGTGTCACCAAGCTCTGCAGCCGACCCCCCCCCAAGTGTAACAGTGTCCCCCCCCCACAAAACCGGTCATAGGTCTCAATCTCTC